ATAGCTCCTTGGGCATAGTTCCAAATTGTACTCCAAAATGGTTGGATCATTTCACAACTCCACCAACAATGCATCAGTGTTTCAATTTTCCCACATCTGCTCCAACATTTATCATTTTTCTGTTTTGTTGTGTTAGCCAATCTGATAAGTGTGATGTAGTACCTCAGAGTTGTTTTGATGGGCATTTCTTTAATCAATAGTGATTTAGAGCATTTTTTCATATGCTTATTTATGGCTTTAATTTCTTCACCTGAGAACTGCCTGCTCATATCCTTTGATGATTGATCAATTGGGGCATAACTTGTATTCCTATAAATTTGACTTAATTCTCTATATATTTTAGAAATGAGGCCCTTATCAGAGACATTGATTGTAAAAATTCTTGCCCAATTTTCTACTTTACTTTTAATCTTGTTTGCATTGATTTTGTTTGTGCAAAAACTTTTCAATTTAATGTAATCAAAGTTATCCATTTTGCTTTTCGTAATGTTCTCTATCTCTTGTTTGGTCATGAATTCTCTGTTCTCCATAAATCTGATAGGTAAAGTATTCCTTGCTCTCCCAGTTTGCTTATGGTATCAGACTTTATATCTAAATCCTGACCCCATTTTGACTTTAGTTTGGTATATGGTGTGAGATTTTGGTCTATGCCTAGTTTCTGCCATACTCTTCTCCAGTTTTCCCAGCAGTTTTTATCAAATAGTGAGTTCTTATCCCAGAAGCTGGGGTCTTTGGGTTTATCAAATAGTAGATTACTGTAGTCAATGAGTATTGTGTCTTGATACTTAACCTATTCCACTGATCCACCACTCTATTTCTTAGCCAGTCCCAAGTAACTTTGATGACTGGTCCTTTGTAATACAATTTAAGATCTGGAAAAGCTAGGCCACTTTCCTTTGCATTTCTTTTCATTAGTTGTTTGACATTCTGGACCTTTTGTTACTCCAAATGAATGTTGTTATTATTTTTTCTAGGTCTATAAAATTTTTTTGGTAGTTTGATTGGTATGGCACGGAACAAGTAAATTAACTTAAGTAGAATTATCATTTTATATTAGCTCAGCCTATCCATGAGCAACTGATGTTTTTCCAATTATTTAGATCTGACTTTATCTGTGTAGAAAGTGTTTTATAATTGTGTTCATATATGTGCTTGTTCCTGGGTTTGTTTCAGTAGGTAGACTCCCAAATATTTTATAATGTCTACAATAACTTTAAATGGAACTTCTCTATCTCTTGCTGTTGGGCTTTGTTAGTAATATATAGAAGTGCCCATGATTTATGTGGGTTTATTTCATAGACTGCAACTTTGCTATAGTTATTTATTATTTCAAGTACTTTTCCACTTGATTCTCTAGGATTCTCTAAGTATATCATCATATCATCTGCAAAACATGATGACTTTGTTTCTTCTTTGCCTATTCTAATACCTTCAATTTCTTTTTCTTCTCTTATTGCTAAAGCTACCATTTCCAGTATGATATTGAACAACAGTGGTGACAATGGACATTCTTGTTTCACACCTGATCTTATTGGAAATGCTTCTAGCTTGTCCTGGGGTAATATTCTCTGGGATTTTAGAGGTTAATAAGAGAGGGTAAGAGAAATTTACTTCTTATTCTGCCATCTTGGTTCCTGGAAGCGGAACCCAATTTTCAATAGGTGATTGTGATGCATTGTTGCTTAGCCTCTCTTCAACTAGGTATGGAGTAGCTTTCCATCTGTCTGCCACCTTTAATGTCTCAGTAATGCTAAGATTTCATAAGAGGATTATCTCTTCTTGCCAAAATACCTGACAATAAATGTGAATTGAACACACATTTCTTTAAGGATATTTCTTGGATAATAACATAACTAATTGGTAAGGTTCTGTCAATTTCTCAGCTAACATGCATACTGGTCATGGGTATCTGTAGTTACTCTTTCCTCATAGACCCCAAAATAAAGTTCAAAAGATAGTTGTGACATTAGTTCAAGCATCAGTAGGTAGAATATAAAGCCAATGGAATCACTCTACATATGTGCCAGAAAAGCCATATGGTGGTGCCAGTGAGATTTTTCTTCTAGTTTCAGTATCCCTAACATATTCACCAGAGTTGGGTTAAAGTTTTCTAGTTATAAATCATCTTCCAGACAGCAGGATGTGACTGTAAGCCTGTGAATGATTGCCAGAGCTAATCTGTCTTTGAACATTGTATTTTCAGAGTCTCTGCTTTGTTCTGAATAGATACCCTAAGAAATCCTTCTCGCATCATATTATTTCAAAGATGGATGGAGGCTTTTAAGTTCCTTGCCAGGTATACTTGGGCACACTGAGTAATGTGATTCACCACCCCTGGTACAACACTCTTGTCCCTTATATCTCTTTGGAGAAAAAAGAAAACAATGAAGAGAAGTTTAGAAAGTGTGCTAACACTTATATTCTTTAAGTAATAAGCATGAGCCACTAGTGTTTTCTCTGCATAAAACAGATATGATACTCCCCTTCTAAGAGATATCTCTGGAGATTTTTGACAATAAATTTTGATTCTTACTAATTCTTCACTGCTTTCCTGATGTACTTGTCTAGTATCATTTTGTAGAGCTTTCATAATCAAAGAGTGACAGGGCCTGGTTAGCACCAACCATTTCTTGCTACCAGTTGTGGGATCAGAAACAGCCCAGAGCAGTACTCCATTGCACAGCTTCAACATCTTCCATTGTCTCAATAGAAAGAGACTTCATAAGACAGGCAGGACTGCTTTATACTCACCAGCTCACTTCTTTTCTGGTAATACTTCAAATAGCTCTTAGTCAAGCATTAGCTCTCTTCATCAATCTTCCACAGACAACCAAGGCAAAGAAGGTTGATTCAGTAAAACAGGATTCACATTTACTGCTGGCATACAGTCTTGTATAGAATTAGTATATCTTTAAAGATTTCAGCTCATTCCACAATAGCTGGACTTTACCCACACATCCCACAGCTCTTGAAAATGTCAGATTTATCCCAATTTTTTATTTTATTCTCTATCATACATTCATCAGTAAATATACAAATGAAACCTGTTGTTGCTACTTCACAGAGCCATTAGGAAGAAAGTATTTTTGGAAAATTTAAACTACTGCCAAAATGTAGCCATTATTATTCACGAATTCAACAACATTTCATTCTGGGACATTACAGAGCACTGAGTTTTTATCCCTCCTCAGCTCTTTATCTGCTACATTAGACATTTTAATAATTGACTGACTTTTCCTTCCTTTCATTAACTTGGATCTCTAAGAGAGGAGGATTTTTTTTTTGCTGTACACTTTTTATTTAACATACTGCTTTGCACAGCACAAGATCTTAAGAAAAAAAAAGCCACGACCAGTGCAAGGATCACAAAACATAGGCCAGAAAGACAAGCAGCTAAGTGTCTGTGTGTGTGTGTGTGTGTGTGTGTGTGTGTGAGAGAGAGAGAGAGAGAGAGAGAGAGAGAGAGAAATAGATGGAGAGAGACAGAGACAGAGAGAAAGAGAAAGAGAGACAGAGACAGAGAGAGAAATAGAAAGAGCGAAAAAATTCTGAAACCTGCTGTGTGACTGATCCTGAGCAAACTATTCAGTGGCCCCACACCTGTAAAAGACCTGTATAAGAAAATAAACTTCTTTTTTACTTAGAAAATATTCCAAGTTTAGAGCAAAAATGACAAAAAACATAGGTACTACATGAAGCTTAAATTTTCTGCCAACAAAAAATCATAAGGTGATATAATACTAATAGTAGCATCAGGCAGCAAATTCTGTAACTCCATGTCATGGATAGTACAGTTAAGAAAACATACTTATTGCCCTCGAGGAAAGGTACGTGCCATCATTTGTGAGACAGGAATTCTTCAAAAACTTTGCAAACTGTTTTCCAGATTAAGGATCTGTTTTTAGTAACATGACTTAAATTTCATGACACATATTAAAAATCAACCAAATCAGTGAAAAATCTCATTTATTGTTAATATGCAAATAAGGAGGCATGTTAAATACCTGTGTTTATGACAGCTGTTCCTAACTTTAAAATATGGAAATTTAGGTGAATAGAGAGAAGTGATTTGAATCATCGTACATAGTGATGTATCATCTAGTCTTCACTGGAACTTTAGATTTTGTTCAGTGTTACTTTGTTTTTTGTTTTCTTTTCATAGAAAAACAGGAAATGATCAGAATATAAGGAGCTTGCTCTTGACCAAAAAAAAAAAAATGGTAATACAATCAGAATTCTCAGCCTCAATGTCTGATTCAAAATTAGTATTCTTCCTATTTTTCCCCCAGGAGACATGACCAGAAATATTGCATATAGTGTCAGGTTGCCTTAAAATGTTAGTTATTTTTAATGAATTCACTCCCCCCCCATTTCTCTCTATCTCCCCACTCCCCTCCCCCTTGTCCTCTCCCCCAAGCTACACCACTCATCATTTATTTTAACAAAGGTGGGTAGAATTGGGATTTATTTCATGGTGAATTTATCACTTTTCTTAAAAAGAAATCTTTTTGAGAAATAAACTATATGGCAAATGAATGGTTAGTAGCTAGATCTAGAGAAGAGAAGGCAACAAGACACAGTGGGTAGGCCTGTGGACTTTCTAGTAAGGAAACACAACATTTAGATTTGCCTCAGATACTCATTCTCTGTGTAGCACTGGGCAAAATCATTAAACTCTCTGGTTATTGATTCTTTCAACTTAACATAAGTGGTTTGAAAGTGGTGACAATTAACATGCTTTCATTCTATGAAGCATGAGACAACAGCTTAGAACTATTATCAACCTTGACTGAATATTCACCATTTTTCTAGTGATCCCAGATTTGCTATTACTCTGAACAGAAAGGTCCATGTATAGAGAAGCTTAGCTTTGAGAAAACAAAATCAAAATTTTTTGATTTATTGAAAGCTGATGCTTTGCTCTCATGTCTTTTTTCAAAATAAAACATTTGGACTGATATTTAGAAGGTTTTTTTTTTTAGCTGTAAAATTCCATGAATCTATATTTTAACACATTTGTTCTCAGAATTTGGTGAAAAAGTCTTTTTCATTCTTTTGAAATCTTTATTACAATTTAGAATCTGGGAATCACTACAGATTAAAAGAAGGGGACTGATTGTTGGGTAAGACAAGGAAAAAACAACAGAGACATACATCATCCATGGGTTTGTATCTTTAGAATTATCCATCACAATAATAAAGATGGAACTGAATGAATAGAAGCACACAAAGATGCTCATGAGCAAAAGGATGACTTTGGTAGCTCTGGTCTCTGGGGAAGAACTGGGGCTGAGGCTGGTCTTATGAGTGTGCTGGACTTTCCAGTGGTGTCTGTACAAAACAACCACCACGTAGCCACTGGTAATGGCCATGAACCCCACAAACACTGCAACATAAAGTGGCTTCCAGATTACGAATTTTGAGATAGTCATGGCACACCTGTCCACAGAACAAAGCCCAAGGTTTCTAATCAGGTTACTCTTTGTGTTGTTCCTAGTGTCAGTCACATATAGAGGCACAACCACAGCTATCAAAAGATTGAGAACCCATACCAAAACAAAGAGTGGGACAATAATCCTTTGAGGCTCTAGCTTTGACCTCTGCCAATATGGGACGGCCAGAACTGATGGTAATGACCTGGAAGACACTAAGAAGGCAGGTAATGCAAAAGGAAGTGCCCCAGGCCACTCTTTGAAGATGAAAGATGATTTTACATTAAATGTCACCCAGGAAAATTTTCTGAATGCAGGAATGCACTGCCCATGGAACTCCTCTCAAGACAATCATCACACTATTGGAAAAAGCCAAATGAATGAAAATCAGTTCAATGGGTCTTATTCTTGGACCAGTGATTATATTATAGCCATAGAAGCAAAGCATTAAACCATTTCCAAATGCTCCAATTATAATCTGAAGCATGTTGAAAGTACACAGGATATCATGATAAGAATGCATTCCTTATTGTCTTGTATAGAAAAATGTTAGTCAGACGAGAAGTTACCTGGGAATGAAAAGAGGATTTTTTCTTAGATCAAGTGATGTGAAAGGAGATTCCAAATTCTGCTCACCACTCAGACAAACTTTAGTAATTCTTGTTTGTTATATAAATATACAGTTTTAGAAAACGCTTTTCTCATACCAGTTATTTTTAAGGTTAAATATAGAAGGATTTCAATCCTTTGACATTAAAAATGTTTACATTTACAAGTAGGAACTATGCCATTTATTATTATAATTATTATTAATATTACTATTATCTTGGGTGTCTGTGTATACTATATATATATATCTAACTTTAAGAAGGACATTGATATTTTAAAGATCATATAGAGAGTAATGACAGAGATCATGATGGGATTACAGAAAAAAATATAAGAAGTGTGGTTCAAGAAAATTGAAATATTTTGCCTTAGGAGAGAAGACTGTAGAGAATCCACACAGAAAAAATAAGTAAAGTTTTCTAATAAAAGGTCTCTAATAATAAATTTCATTTGAGAAATAAAAACTTGGATGAGGAAATAAAATTTTTAATTTCCTGTGTAAAATTGGGGTGTAGACAAGGAGACATTTTGGAGAATCTTAGAACACATTCAAATATGAATAGGTCATACATGGAAATTTTTTTTTCTCTTTTGAACCCAAAATCAGAAATGGAGCAATATTTAGAACAAAACGAAAACATATTAGATGTTTCTAAATTGATCAAATCCTAAAAGTTTTCCAACAATGGACTAGGCTGTCCTGAAATGTGATGTGTTGATCTATACCAGAGACCTGCATTTGAAGGTTGATTAACTATTTATAGGGAATATGGCAAGCAAGATTATTTTATAGATAAGGTTTGGAATAGAACTCACATTTTTGAAAGACTTGATTTATTCTTGGATTTCCTTCCCATTCCTTATGGATTCTGCTAAAATATATATTACCAGATAAATTAGCAATATCAAGCACTTTATGCATCTTAAAGATCTTCTAAAATATTTTAAGACACCCATTTCCCTATACTTCCACTGTTAATTTTAGATGGAGCTATGATGGAAGGGTCAAGAAACATCAAAGCCATTGAGGCCAGGGATGCTGGTTAACCTGTACATATTTTGGCTAGATAACCTAAGTGAGCAGTCATTCTCTGTAGATTCTGTTGTTTCTAAATTAAGTGTTCATGCATTTCTTCAGGCCACTTGGGGTGACACAGAGAAGACAACTAGTTTCAGTTGCAGACTTTTTCCAAGCTCATATGTCCTTTGGCTTCAAGGATTCTAATGCTATTAATATAAAGTCATTCACCACGGAGAAGCTCTGCAGAGAGAAATTATTGTCACAAATATAGCTGTCCCTAATGCTGAGCTGTCACTCAGAATTATTACAGTAAGAGCCTTTGAGTATTCCAAAAGGAATATATTTCTCAGAACACATTCTCAGAACCCAAGAATCTTCCAACCCAGTTGGACATAAGCACTGAGGTGCAAGGGGATGGTAGGGAAACAGTATTTAGAGCACTGTTACTATCTGCCTCATAGACTCCTGTCTCCCAGAAATACTGAAATATTAAGCAGCTGTGGCTTATTAAAAATCATGTGTTGTTGTCCCCAGCCCCAACCACCAATCACCTTGTGTCATTACCAAGATTAGGTATTATAATTCTCACCTAACTTCTTTTATGTTTTACTTTTTTGGGGGATATCTTTCTATTCAAATTTCAACCCCATGTTACATCAGTACAGGATTACTGCTTAAAACTTACCCAAACTGGGTATCACTACTAGTTGCCTGCTATATATAGGGAATTATGCAGTGTTTTTTTCTTATTCTTTTCCTTACACATATGTTATCAACATAATCTTATCTAAAATATCAGTCACAAAGTACATAACAATGCTATTGAAGATTAATAGCATTCAAATGCCTATTTTATCATTTCTATATATTTATTACATATATCTATAATTATTCTATATACAGCATATGTAATTACAGAAAAAAAGTGAGGTTACAGATATCATAAGAGTTTGATGTAAATCACTACCAAAAGAGTACCACGGCCTGCATAAACATACATTTGATGAATGTAAATGAATGGAAAAACTAAATTTCAAGTTATCTGTATCAAGAAAGGCAAATTGGGCAAAAATGGAGGTCATTGTGGTTTCCTGAAAATAATAAAAATGACCTCAACTTGACTGAAATCACATCTAATCCAATTCAGTAATTCCAAGGTCAAGATAAATTCAGAAATTAGTTTTATTTTTAAACTGTTTCAAATTTTGTCTAAAGAAGATACATCTATCAAGTACATCTGACAGGTGAAATAACTTTTGCTTTAGAGGAATCTGATGTCCAAGGCAAAGATTGCCGAGGACGGCTGGGACCCCATAACCAAGCCTTGTTCCTCATGTGATAACCTCGAAACATCCTGTTTTAAGTTCTCCTGGTGGACATCCATTTCTTCAGATATAGAGGTTACCAGTCTCTTGAGACCCTTTTTATCTCTATTAAAGAAGCATCTTCCTTTCACTTATGAGTTTGATTTCTTTTAGAACAAATTATGCTTTCATTGCCTTAGAAATTGCTTTCGGAATATTTAAGTAAAAATAATAGTAGCAAGAGGAGAAAGTAGTTGTCATCCCATCTACATATAAGAAAAGCCAATTTTCACAACCTCCTTTACATGAGGATTGCACTCAGCACACAATAGGACTTCTTTGTCATGCAGGATGTGTGCCCTGTTACTGTCACATGAATTCCTGAGATGCTCTTTTTTTCCTCAAAAGATAGTTGACTAATCATCTTACACTTGCCTATAGCCCTTTAAACACATAAGTCTGTTCCATATAAATTACATGGAATGGTCTTCTAAAAAAGACAACTCAGAAAGCAACCAGTCCTCAATTTATAACCCAATTTCCTGTGCTCTGGGTTTAGAGGAGATGGCAGGGCAAACTTCCAAACTCCATTGCAACTTTACTTTAAAAGGCAGTTGAAGAAATCATGACAATATTCTAAAAAGTAGGCACAATGCTCTCTCACTGGATCTCTCTCCTTTTTTGTTTCTCAACCAAAAAAAGCCTAATTGAATGTAGCCTCCCATATGCTTTGCAATCAAGATTTAAAGAAAAGCTGAGAAAACTCTTACAGGATTCCCATGCATAGTTTTATGCCAGCCACCAACCCCCTATCTACTCCCTTCTACACTATTTTCCCTAAGAGAAGAGAAGTCTTGGCTGATGTGAATTGCTTAGTAACAGTCTTTCTATTCTGCAAAGAACCTGGGGAGCAATTGAGCCCAGAGTCCTGTCTCTGCGACCTTGAAGCTGTTGCTGTCAGGATATTTGCTTCAGTGGCCTCTTTGTCAGTGTTCTTATTATAATTATCCTTAAAATCAGGAACCAGGGGCCTGCACAAATGAAATGATATCTCCCAGGCAGCACAGGCAGTAAGGAGCAGAGTCAGAATCTGAACCCATGCCCTGAGTCTTTAATTTGAGTGTTTTTCCCGTTTCACCCTGAATAGTGGGCAACCATAGCATTTGAAGCAAAAAAGACAGAAACGTGGCTTGGCCCAATTTATAAAACGTAGCAAGTCATTAAATCTAAGGTGCACCATGATTATGAGTGGTAGAAGTAATGATGATTGAAATGAGTAAAGAAAATGCAGAGGAAAGCATGTAGAAGACAGGAATGAAGGTTAAAAAACTCTGTATTGAAAGCAATTCCCAGTTTCTCAATCAAAGCTGCATTGGAATCAAACAGGCATGAAGGCCGCCCCAGAAGCAAAATAAGACTGTAGAATGAGGACTGCAGTGGGAGACCGGGACCACACGTGTCCAACTCCCCATCAAACAAAACTTTCTGTGATTTTGAAAGATTCACCAAGTCTCTCTGGGCCTCAGTTTCCTCACTTGCAAAATGAAGGCTTTAGATCAGCTCTTCTGACTTCTCTGCTCTGAATCTCTGAGTCTATACGACTGGCACAGGGAGAGAGATTAGACGTTGGAGCATTGGCTTTGACAATCCCCACAGGAACTCTCAGCCTGTCATCCGCATTCTTTCAAAGCCCTGAAGCCTGAGTGGGGAGGAGGCGTGAGGGAAACCACAGGGCAGGAAGCCACTGAGAGCAGCAGCCTGGAGTGATCTGCCAAGGCAAGGAGTCTGCTAGGACTCAGAGGTTGCGCAGTGAGGTTACTGGACAGCCCACAATGGCTTTTCTAAGATACTGAGCCTGAATCAGAGATCAGAGCCTTCTGATCCTTGGGTTGTTACAGTTCTGTCGCCTGATCTACTCAGAAAGGGAATAGTGAGGGCCCAGTTTTCTCCCAGGCCTGTTACAAGACAGACTCTCCCAGCATCTGAATCATAACCTGCTGTGTACTGCCCCTACCCATATTCCCCTTTGCCTGGTTGCGGACCATAATAGGGAGGGGACAGAGGCAGAGACACTAGACAGGTACCTAGGGCAGGAAATAGGTCCGTGCCACATTTTAAGGATAGAATAATACCTACTGAGGCTTTTTTTCCAGGGTCTCTTTTGAATCTCAAGCACTCAGAGAATTAATTCCATTCTTCTAGAAGGCATTTCTAGGAAACTTTATCTCTGTGTTCAAGGCATAAATTCACTTACCCGTCTGATCTGTGCTGCCAAAGCAGTGGCTAGAGTTGGGTGTGGGTGTGTATGGATGAATGCATATGTATATGTATGTACATACATACTGTATGCATGGTCATACATCCAGTAGTCAGGGCTGTAGTTATAGGGATGGGGTTTACTGAGCTCATCTCCCCCAAGAGCTGTAATTACTATGTCACCTCAAAAAGGAACCTTAGTACAAGGGATCTGAGATATGTCAGAAGAGGAAACAACCATTTGTCTTAGGTTAAAATCCCCATTAGCAATTAGAATCTCTCACCAAGCAGCTTTTAACATTTGGAAGAGAAACCTCTTCTTTTTTTTCTTCCCT